TGAGGAGCAGCAGAAGCGGTAGGCTCCCTGCTTGAACACAAATGTTTGGGAGTGTTGACCTGGTGTGTAGCCTCACCTGAACTGGCCCTGGTTCTTCCCTAACAGCTGTTCCCTTAGAGTAGAAATACCCCCCTCATCAGACATTATGGGGAGCCAGATCCCTGTAAATATATTTTTAAACCAAGGAATGGCCCCATAAGCTATTTCCTAAGTGTGTCCCTGTGGTTGTAGAATCGGCCTGGCCTGGGGCTCCTCCTCCGTTGGCCACTGGTAGTTTAGGAAGACCAACCGCTATCTCTGTTGATAAAGGAACTCAGTCATCCGGAGCCAGCAGACTCACAACCCCAAGAGTCAAAGTATGACCCATCAGGTCTGTGTGTCCTGCAGTCCCTTCTGCGACAGGGCCATCTGCCTAACAGTCAGCGTTCCCACTGTTCACTACATTTCTGGATGAGTTATATGAGAAGGATGGCCCCGGCATCACCTAGCTAAACATTCCGAGGAAGCAGATGACAGACCCCGGGTGATGCGCTGATCCATAGCTCAGGACTGGGCTGCCCTCCATAGGGAGCGGGCTCCCATTTCCCCTGTCCAGATTCCCCGTCTTCAGCTGTAAATTACTTGAACGTAAGAAGAAAGTGTGTACTGGAGTACAAAGGCCCTTGAAAAGCCTTTTGCTTACTTTACTGCACTTTTGGCTCTAGCACCCACGGCGTTAGATGCCACAGCAGTTTTGAACTAACAAAGTTTAGCTGATTTTCCTCCCTCAGCGGCTCCCGCACTTCCTGTCCCATCTTCCTTGACAGCCTCCCGCAGTCTCTCTTCCTCTTTCATGTCATGTGTCTTCTTTTTTTCTTGCAGTCTTTTTGAAATTTCTTTTTCTTTAAAATAATAGCAGTGATGAAGTGTGGCTTTGTCATCTAGACAGACTGGAACAGTGTACCCATCCTTCCTTCAGGTGTGAATTGACATTTGAGTCAGGTGCCGTATCAGGCAGATTCATGAACAGTTTGGGGGTGGTGGCTGTTTCTGTAGCCCATGTGGATTTCCTACAGCCTGTGAGTCAGGCCACGTGACAGGGTGGGGTAGCTCTGTTACAGACGGTATGCTCACTTAAAAAAACAAATCTGTGTGGTTTTGTGTGTGCACAAGAGTGTATTTTCGTGTGTGAGCATGACTGGGCCATGTGTGGAGGTCAGGACGACCTTGAGGTCACTTCCTGTCCACCCCCCTGGAGTGCCTGCCTGGATGCTGCCCCCACCTAAACTTCCGTCCCCACCCTCTGAAAACCTGCAAACAGTCGGAAGCTGTGGCTTTGGCCAGCCGTCTGGGGAAATAACTCTAGAAATACTGAGGAAGCTGGCCGCTCTCAAGTAGTTTCCGTGGGCTAGCTCTGCTCACTGAGAGGTTCTAGAGCCCCAGGAATGAGTAAGGAAGTTAGGCCACTCGAGAATGTCATTGCTTCAGCAAGAACTCAATTCAACTCAGAGCCCAAGGGACAGAACTAGTTCACCTTATTGGCTCCCTCCCTCCCTCTCTGGGTCTCATGTAGCCCAGGCTGACTTCAGAACTTGCTGTGTAGCAGAGGATGACCCAGAGTGCTGAGACTACAAGTGTGCACCCATCACACCCAATTTATGCACTCCTGGGATCAAATCCAGGGCCTTGTGCATGCTAGGCAAGCACCCTACCAACCTAGCCGAAACCAGCGGCTCCCTTTGGATTTGCATATGCAAATATGGACACCAGGAGACTTGACTAATAGTGTCCGGACCTCAACGGGAGGAAGAGAGAAGAGAGTAGAAGACTTCTGAGAGGCAAAAATTTCTGATAAACTTCTCAAGTTTAATTTCTCAATTTATTGAATTATGGTCCAGTGTGGCCTGTCTGTCTTTGTTACCTACTACATGACAGAGTCTCTTTGGGAGGTGGGATATGTATGTGTGTATGTATTTTATTATATAAACTTGATCCGTCATGTCAGTCTGATTTTTCTACTAGATTTCGCCAATTCTGAAATAAGTAAGTCTCCCGCCGCACTTCACGGCACGTCTGTGATGATGTTTGCCCCGGTCTGAGCTGTGGGCACACAGTTTCCTGACTGCCGTTCTCTTAGCTTCTGCTTCTCATGACATCGTGCTCCCGTTCATCGGCTTTGCATTTTCTCTGCCTGTTCATTCGTTTACATTCTCTTCAGATGAGTGCTTCGAACACAGGGTCTGTCAGTTGGCTGCCTCTGTGCTCCCGTTGGAAAGGTTTCTCTTTCCGTTTATTGACACGGCGCACGTGGAAGTCAGCGAACAACTCGCTAGTCAGAGTTCTCGCCTTGCACCTGGTAGTTTCGGGGGGCGAACTCAGGTCGCCAGGCTTGGCAGCAAGAGCCTTTACCCATGAGCATCTCACTGGCCAAGAAGCGTGCTGCTTTTGTTCTTTTAAAAAACGTTTTGTTCATTCCGGCTTATTCTCATCAGGACCATCAGTGGTGTGCCCCACGCAGCAAGCAGGTGGCTGCTTGTCCAGCCTCCCTTTACTGTTACCTCTCTGTCCTCAGCCCAGATGTCTTGCTTCTGGGTATATGGAGGGTGAAGAGTTCTTTCTGCCCTGCCGTGGGAACGGAAGGGTAGGAACTAGGGTTCTCTGGAACAAACTCTTCTCAGGATGCCAGCTCCCCCCTAGGGCTCTTCAGCCCCCTTCTAGCCTGTGCTGCCCTCTCCAAGTGTGGCCCCAAACCTCCCCTGCCTCCGCCGCCTGTGAGCCACTAGTCATTTCGTAGGGCAGGGCACGGCGCATATTTGAAGCTGATCTTCCCAGAATGCATCTGTCAGCTCTTGCCCCTTTGCACTTAGAAAAATGACACAGTCATGAAAATAAGCACTACAGATTATACAAAATAAAGGGAGCTTGAATCCAACATTTATCAACTGGAGCCGCCATTAGTGGATTCGGCATGTCATTTAAATATTTTCTGTACATTTAAACATACATAAAGGTTTAAAATGCAGACAAGATTATGCTATATAGACAAATTTCCACTTGATTTGCCCCACCTAATATACTAAGCAGTATAAGCTTTTCATATTTTTAAGTGCAATCTGAAGAAAATATCAAGATATTTATGGGTGTTAAGAAAGTTTCTCTATTATGAACAGTGATATTCAGAACATCTCTGAGTATGAGAATATTTCTGTATATCAGATTGCTAGACATGGAGTCTGTGGCTCAGAACACATGTGCTTTTAAAAACTTCATGCTCTGCCAAACTTCCTTCCCAGGAGGCTGTGCTTCCCTGTCCCGTCCACAGAACCTGAACATAGCTGTCCTCACACCCTGACCAATGTTAGATTATCACTTCATTTTTGTTTGGTTTTAGATTTATTTTTAATGTGTCAGTGTGTCTGCCATGTGTGTGCAGGTACTCACGGGAGCCAGAAGAGGGCGTCAGATCCCTTGGAGCTGTGGGCCAAAAGCAGAAAATCCTTTTACGTTCTGAGCTGCCTCTCTGGGCTCTCATTTGCATTTTTGATAGTTTGATAAATTAAAAGTACTATCCTACTATTGTTTCATTTGAAAATTTTAAATAAAAGTGCAGTACGGTTTTCATATGCTTAGCACCCAATGTTTTTCTTCTCTGAAATGCATTGTGTTTTCTCCCCTACCCAGCTCCCCACCCAGTTCTTTTTAACTTACAGCAGTTTACACTGTGTCTGTTGTTTGTATTTTAAAATGCTTTCCAGCATGTTATTATTTTTTTGTGTGTGGTGTTTTTTTTTTTAATCTACTGGTATTATCTACTGGTATTTTAACATTCTATGTAACTGTAGAGTTTTCTCTCTGGGTCCCGCCAAACCCCAGCCATCCGACAGCCCACTTATAAAATAAACACACAGATGCTTATATTATTTAAACTGTTTGGCCTAATGGCTCAGGCTTCTAGCTATCTAGTTCTTACATCTTAAATTAATCCATTTCTATAAATCTATACCTTGCCACGTGGCTCGTGGCTTACCGGCATCTTCACATGCTGCTTGTCATGGTGGCAGCTGGCAGTGTCTCCCTCCGCCTTCCTGTTCTCTCAATTTTCCTCTCTGTTAGTCCCGCCTATACTTCCTGTCTGGCTACTGGCCAATCAGTGTTTTATTTATTGACCAATCAGCAACACATTTGACATACAGACCATCCCACAGCAATTCTACATTGTTATTAATATTTAACCTTGTTTTTTTACAGTTTCATGTCTCCCTAGAAAACTGTACTTTAGGATGATAGTTACACAAAGAATTAACTCATGTTTATTTTCTCCTGTACTTTTATGGTCTCATCTTTCGTATATAAATCTTTTGTCCACCTGAACTTTTTTTCTCCCTACCTATCGATGTTGATCTGGAGCGTACTACATAGCTCACGTGATAGTCTGCCCTAGTGCTGGGGTTACAGGTGTGTGCCACTACACCTGGCGGGCTCACTTGAAATCTGGTTTGAGATATGGCTACCTATTTAACCCAACATTGTGATTAGAAGCTTTTTTGTTTTTTAAACTGATCGGAAATGCCGATATCAATGATCAAACTTGTTTGGGTGAGTGATTTCAGATCTGTCCACGAGAATAAAAACGGGGTGGTATTAGACACAAACTCTGACACACTCACAGGCTGTGTGCTCACATCATGAACTGCAATTGTTTCTTTTCTCTTCCTGCTAAGGACCGAGAACGTGGGACTCGATGGAAGCAGTCGGGGGCACAGTTAGTTAGGTTGTGACCCTATCAGTTGCTAACTGTGATCTGGAGCTCTGTTCACTTCTAGAAACCTCATTTTACTAACCTATAAAGCCAGCGGCTTGGGGAGTTCAGGGAAACTGAGGCCTTTTGTTCCTTATAAATGAGATTTTCCACCTTGTCTCGTGAGGGCAGACTGTCCGGGCTCAGGGCAACGTGGGAGTTTAACTGGAATGTTCCACATTGCTTCCCCTGCTGACCAGCTTCCCTGTCTTTCCTCTTTCAGCTGTCTGAGAAGTATGGACTGCCCGTGGAGAAAATCACAAAGCTTTATAAGAAGAGCAAAAAGGGGTAAGAAAGAGCTAACCTCGGCTAGCTTCCATGTCTGCAGGGTGCATTTTAAAATGGTACTTTCTTTACCTCTTGTTACCTCTGGGGCCCACGGTGCCGGTTAAAGATCTTTAGTGATTGAGGCAGAGAGACCCACAGTGCTCTGCCAGGATGTCACCTGAGATGCACCTGTAGACAGCATGGACCAGAGGGACAGAGAGGTGGTGGGGACACAGTGGAAAGTGAAGAGGTCACCCCTCTTTACATTGGCTCCTGAGTGACAGTAGGGACAATAGTTTGTTGAGGATATCGGAAATTATTCCAAGGTAATCATTCATGGAATCTTCTCAGATGGCCGTGGGACCTGTTTGTCCACATTGGTAAGAACAATCGGTCCTTCCTGGCTGGGTGGTCAGGAGGCTGTGGGTCCCCTGCCCGGTGTTTCCCCTCACTAATCCATGAGCTTACAGATGAGGAAAGAAAGCAGGCCGCTTCAGCATTTCACCTCGGCTCTCACGTTTAGTAAACAGAACACAGGTGGGGGGCGGGGCCTATGGTCTCAGGACTCAGGAGGTCATTCACCTCTGCCCCTTTTAAGGCCCCCTAGGGCTCCCTCTGACCCCCTCATTAGGGAAACATGACCTGGGATTCCCGGACTGTCTGAATTTGGAGCCTTTGGCTGACTGAGCATCAAATTTAAGCTCTTGTTGGAAACTCAGTGAACGTGTGCTGCAATTTTTTCCAGCACAGTGGGCTGGGGAGACTCCTTTGAGTGGTGCCTCAAGTCCTGAAGGCTAGAGAGCCTCACTGTGAAGTCCTGTGCACAGGCTTGTGTCCTGACAACAACCCACTAAGCGTGGGTCGTTCTTCCGTTTGTAAAGGAAGAAACTGAAGCCAGGACAGGCAAAGCGGGCACCACTATAAAACAACTCAGTGCGTCATTCCTTCCCAAACTGACAGGAAGGAGAGGCTCAGGTCCTCCTCATCACAGAGAGGTGCTGGAGGGTGGCTTCCTGGTCGACAGCACGTGAGGCTCTTCCACAGGACCCTGGTTCAGCTTTCAGCACCCACAGGTGGCTCACACCGTCTGCCATTCTAGTCCCGGTGATTAAACGGCCACTTCTGAACATCACGCACACATACGTACTTTCAGGCAGCGGAGGAGAGGTGGGGAGCTTGCAGGGGTGAGGCAAAGCCAGCTTTAGACCTATCCTAGTCCTCACTGGCTGGGTTGTTTCTTACTTGCAAATTACTGATGATGAACTTGCCTTTAAGCCGTGTGCACTGTCTTTTACTGCACGTATGTGTGCGGTCAAGGGCAGCTGAGGTTCGCAATAAAACCCCTCAGGGTCCGAACTATTTGGACTGTGGTTCAGTAGCCAAGAATCGTTTGGCCCTCTGCTAACTTCTCTGAGGCATAGCGGTTGGGCCAAATGATCTCAGAAGCCCTGTTTAATAAGAAATTGTAAGGGTAGTTCAGGGAAACTGAGGCTCCGCTTCCTTTAGGGGAAGAAACTAGAAGGTTTCTGTTTTAGGGGAGGGAAGTAGAAGAAGGTTAGGGACACCCAGCCTGAAGGGTGTTCCTGCACTGAGTCCTCTGTTCACTGGCTTTGTTTCTTACTCCACCCCATCTCCCCCAACTGTGACAGCATCCTGGTGAACATGGACGACAACATCATTGAGCACTATTCAAATGAGGACACCTTCATCCTCAACATGGAGAGCATGGTGGAAGGCTTCAAGATCACGCTGATGGAGATCTGAGTCCTGGGCACGGGGCCCCTTGACAGGAGCTTTCTTCAGGGCGCTCCTTCCTGGGACAGACGGGATGGAATCTCGCTGGCCCAGAACCTGGAGCTCCATCTCACCCACCTCACAAGACTGTTACAAGACTGCTGGGAAAGGGGCAGGGCCCAAGGCCCAGTGACTGTCCATGTTCGACTCTTCCATTTGCTCCCCACGGAGCTGAAGGCTGAGCCCCTCAGCAAATTTCTTTGGGCCTGTCAGGCCCTTATTTATTGCCCATTTCCCCCCCAAGAGCCTGGAGTCCAGGCCCTCCAGGACTCTACAAGTTACTGATAGCTCCACGTGAGGCATCCAGAGTGCCCCCTTCAAGGGAAACACAGCCAGTCCACTCATCTCGAAGAGCCCGGGGAACTGGTGTGTCTTTTCTTACTTCACATCTCTTGAGTGGATGGACAAGATGAGCTGCTTCTTGGTGCAGTCTTCATGGGTGGGGTAAGAAAGACACCCATTTACTGGCCCCAAACCTTCAGATAGCTCTGAAGAAGGTCATTTTACTAAATACCTCCAGGGGATCTCCGCAAGTAGCCACTGGGCCTTGTACAGGAAGACATTCTGCTACCATGTCAGTAATAAGGAACACAAAGTAAGCCTAATGACCATGTACATATTTTGTACATAATATCGCAGTAATATATTTTACCTGTGGTGTGCGGGCATGTTTACCGCCACTGGCCTGGAGAAGACACAGACCTTGAGACTCAGAGCATCCTGCTCTATCCAAGAGGAGGCTAGGAAAGTGGCCTTTGGGGTGTCATGTGACTGTGGTGAATGCCAGGATGGACTCTTCATTGGGCCATGCCTGAGGACTTGTTCCCCGTCCCCAGACGGAGCCCTTTCTCCTCAAACGGGACGCCCTTGAGGCCCTCCTGTTTTCTCTCCGGGTGGTGTGTCTGGGCCGGGCCATCCTGTCAGTGCCTTGTTTAGCTTTGGTAACTTAAGCCTTTTGTAAAGTTTCTGCAGGGGTTTACACTGGGGTGGGCCCTGTCGCCGGGACCTGCTACAGAACTGCTTGGCCGACATGGGGATCCTGGACACTGTAGTACCTCACAGTTTACAAGCATGTCCTTCATCTCAAGTGGCCCCTTTGGAAACCCAACTGTAGTTTTGCAAAGCGAGCCAGCAGCTCGGCTTGGCTGTGAACAGCAGACGTTCTTCTCATGCTTCTGGAGACCAGAAGAGGTGGGGCTATCCACGCAGGCTGTGGAAAACCATGGGAGCCCTGGCAATTCCCAAACCAGCTTTGGGAGGCACCCTGGAGAGCCGAGGCTGCTCCTCTCCTTACCCTTGGGAGGTCAAGAGAAAACTGCTTTCCTGAACAGTCACGAAAGCGTGCCCCATCGTGGGCTACTGTTCTCTCTGAGAGGACAGGTCGGTAGCTTAGGGACTTGTATGTGCCCCCATGGGCTGAGCACTAGTTTGAGTAGCCATGCATATCCCACTCCCAGGCCTGGATAATGAGACAGCTTCCATGGAAAGGTCCAGATCTGCCTGGGAAGCACTTTGATGTCTTACCTGGAGGCTCAGTTGTCGGCTCCTACCTTCTTGTCCCACCTGCCCCTGAGGCTGACTCTAGACCAGCCATTGCTCTCCAAAGTGACAAAGAAGTGGAATGGGATGGAGAGTAGGTGCCATAAGGAAGAGGATCCCAAGGGACAGCAGGGACGCCTTTCTGAGAGCCCCGGCACTCCTTATCCTTTGTGTGGCCAAAGGCTTGCACCCTGTGCTCAGCTCTGTTCCAGTCCTCTCTGCCACTCTAAATGCCATTCCTTGAACCAGCAGCTTGGGGACCCTCCAGGGTGCTGCTAGTGGGTCTCTGATCTATGCTCTACAACACTTGGGGTTAGCTCAAAACATGTTGGCAGACCTTATGTGTGGGTGCAGAACTCCAGAGCAGGGAGAAGACAGATGTGTAGCAACCCCACTGGCTACCAGTCTCTGGAAAACTGCTGGTCTGCTGTAAGGCCGAAAGACAAGCCAGAGATGGCTTTGCTTTGCCTTTGTCCTGAACCCCTAAGCAATGTTTGTGATAGCCATTGCCAGACAAGGGATAAAAGCCGGTGCCATGAAAAAGTGTCACAAAGAGTGTCACAGCGTCAGGTCCTGGAGTGGCCACTGGGGGCGTCCCTTGCTGTGCTAGCTAGCAGAGCTTTGCTGAGCATCCTTTTCTGAACAAAACACTCCAGCAAGCTAGAAAAGCTTGCCTCAACTTTGTCCCTGAATTAATCTCACCCAAATAAAGAACTTTTTGTCATTGTTTTTAATCCACAGAAGATGGGGCACGCATGAAGCCAGAAAGCGTTTCCTTCCGTGTCCTCAAATGTTGAAACTTTCCCGGTGTTTAGAAATTGGAACCAACAGAGAGGTACACAGGGGGCTGTCATATTGACATCAGTTCCTAAGAGACTAAGGCATGTCCTAACGCAGAGACCCGGGAAGCATGAAATGAGTTAAAACATTTACTTTCCTTCATATTTAATAGTCATGAAAATGCAACAGGAAAGGAGGATTTGTGCCAAATTCTGAGACTGGCCCTTTCTGAAAGACAGGCAAGGGGAGATTGATGTGTGTACAATCTGCTCCCACCTAAAAAAAGAGTAAATGTAACTTAATAGTTTTGTAAATGGGAAAGGGGGAATCTATAAACTATAAATATGTTATTTTATTTTTTGTACATTTTTAAGAAGAAAATAAATATTCATAACACGAGTCAAACAGCAGCGTCTGGTGATTTCTGTGTGGTGACCCCAGGTGCTCTTTGTCTTCGAGGAAGAGGTCTCTGTGTCCTGGGTCTGGGCTGCTCTTGCACCTTCAGGCCCTGCTTATAGCAGAGCACAGACTTGCTCTTCCAGTCCCCCACCCTCCTGTTATACCAGGCTAAAATGCCAAGAGGGCCGAAGGGCGACAAGAGGCCCCCAGTGTGGCCTGGAAGTCACTCCTGACTGGTTCCCTCGGGTGGGTTCGCCTACACCTTCTCCCTGGCACTTTCTGGAGCTTCTTATGCTTTACATCTGTGCCAACCTCTACAGAGAGGCAAAAGTCACACGGCTCATACTTCAATTCCACATTCACACTTTCTGGCCCTCCAAGAGCCACACCTCAGAACACCGTCTGTGCTGAGGCTCCAGTGGTAACCACCACGTTACAGAACCACTCACCTTGCTCCAGCTGGTGTCTTCAATGATTTCCCAAGAGCATCCATCCCAACAAGTAGCATTACTAGCATTCTCCACAGCACCCCTTCTTTCTCCAGGCATGGTACTAAAATCTTGCCTCCAAAAAGCCTTCCCTGGCTGACTTCAACCCTAGTGGGATCAGCCCTTTCTGCTCACATCAGGGGTAGGGAAGAGCAGGCCTGGCGTGAGGGGTGTTTACTATGTGGAAACTTCTGGAATGAAATAGGCCATAAGCCTCTTTGTTACTCTCCATGTCCTCCCTCTTCCTCAGGTCTGACTAACATTCTCACCTGCCTGAATGGGTGGTTTGGGGGTGTGTGTGAGTGCTCACCACATCTCCCCCTTTGATGTGACCATCACAGTGAGCTGTGCTTATCAACACAAGCTCCCTGGACTGGGGGAGTACCCTTGGTGCTACATTCCATTTGTTCCCAAGGGTTCTTAAGCTCTATACTTCTGGGCTCTTCTGAATGGGTGGATGGTTAATGTTGGGAAACGAGTTTGAGGAAAGATGGTGGGGGCCTCGGATGAGCCAGAGGAGAGGCGTGGTGGAGACCGTAGGTGCACACCACCCTTGTTCACTGGGATCAAATATCCATCACGGACCATTCGGGAAAGAACATTTCTGATTTGCCATTGGGTGAGAGCTAAGGTGTTTATAGTGGTGTTCAAGGTGGGATAGGAGTTGGCAACTCATCTTGAGGCCTGTCCTCCCCTCCCAGTCAAGCTTCTTTGCTAACAATCCCCCCACTCCAGCTCACACACTTCCAAGCCTTCCACACTCACACTGAATGGGGGCACCATGGAACACTCAGCATGAGCCCAACCAAGTGCTGAGATACTGCTATTGAAGAAGTTCAGCTTGGAGAGGGCTGACTGGCCATCTGCCTGTCTCCGTGGGGGTGCGTGTACTGGTGAGGATTTTTGTTAGCATATACTAATTTCATTTTTTTTTTTTTTTTTTTTGCGAACATGTGTGATTTGGTCATGTTCACCCCTCACTACCTTCTCTTGTCTTGTCCCCCTCCTGCTCCTGCTGATCCCCTTCATTTTTCCCTTCCCCAGCAACTGCTCACTGCAAATAACTCCTCAGGGAGGGGTGGAGTCTTGTAAGTCTCCCCTTATCCCCATCCCCCACTCCCATCTATGGCAGAGTATTGGCGGGCCCAATCCTGTGCATGATGGTGACTATTTAACTGAGGGTACTGATTAGCAAGTCCAGCCGCCTTGCACTGTGAAGTGTTTTCAGCGTTTCTCTTGAGAAACGCTAAAGTAGCAGCTATTCCCTGGAAAAGCCGTACAGCTAAGCCTTCCCACGCCTGGGAGCTGCCCAGTGGTTAGCGCCTTATTGTCACTGTCATTGCGTCCCTAAGGATGTTGGGAATGTGCACCATACATCAACACCCAGGACAACAGACTCCAGACGGCAGACACCTTGAAGTCGGAAATGTGTGGAAATTCCTGGGTTGTGTGTGCACAGACTCCTTAGGGACTCCAGCCACCTTCCCACCATCGCTGCTGTGAATGACTTGATGTGTTTCAGACAGTCCTTGTACATAGAGACCAACTGTGTGCAGTAGGAAAGGACTTCTCCACATCTGCTCTCCAAAGGTCTACTTGGCCTACGAGGGGCCTACTGTAGCTCCTACTCCAGGGAGCAGGATAGCAGCCTCTGTCATACGGCCTTAGCCTTCTGGGCTGCAGTCAAGACCTGTCTGTGACTGCAAGAGAATGTGAGTGACTCTGGAGGTACAGGCGATCCATCAGGTTATCTCTTCCACAGAATCTTCTCTGACAGAGGAGAAAGGGAGAGGATTAGATTGCCTTTTTCAGGCTTCCCCAGATCCTGCTGAGCAGGAGTTGGCCTGGGTTTTTGCTTGTGTACCTCATGTTTGGGGAAGGAGAGTCAATGTGGGGGAGTAAGGGCCAACCTGGGAAGGGAGAAGGAAGTGATACATGGACCAACAACGCTTCAAAACTCTTCCACCCCCAAACCTGGAACCTCCCCAAGACAACAGTTTTAGTAAGGAAAATCTCATGGTCCAGATAATGATATTAAATAATAAACATGCTTTAATGCCAGGCAAGAGCTATACAATCAACTGAACGGGACCACACCACATAGTCTGACATATATTATTAAATTCATTTGTAGAAAGTCCCCCTGGGGTGTACTGCTGGGGTGGGACAGCACCCACAGCATCCCTTCTCCATCTTAAGCGAGGTACAAACAGTCACCTTTGAAGTGTCCTTCAAGTCATAGCCATTTAGTCCAGTCCCGTGGACAACACAGGCTGCCATTACTTGGAACAGATAAGACTCCCTTCCTCCAGGTATTCCCAAACACAGCCGAAACAATGCCTCACCAGAGTGACATGTCTTCAGGCTTTCAGCCGTCCGGGTGCCGCGAAGTTCCTTGGTGAAAATGTATAAAATTAGACATACCCCACACCTCCGTGGGGAGGAGGGGAGACAGCCCCAGGGAGAACACAGGCAGTGTGTTTTGTCTGGGTGGCTAGCCAGTTCTGGAACTCTGCATGCCTTCCGGGGACCACAGGGCTCACAGCCTATGCCTCTGGCGCTTCCATTTCCCAGTAGCTGGAAGCCACCTTCTCTAGTTCCCACCTCAGCTCAAAGTTCTAGAAACACAGGGTCTGGCTCAACGTGAGGCAGAGCCCGAGTGGCTTCTCAACCTTAACTGATGCCACTCATCAAATGAGAGCCAGAAAGAGGATTCAGTCCTCAATTCAGAGTGGGACAGTTGGGTCCACTTCCCAAAGAGCAGTGTGCTGGGTCCCTGACCTGGTTGTGCTCCACAGCTCGGGCTCATTCTGCTGTTCAAAAACAGACTTTACCATTTGGCCCACGGGATTTGGCAAGCCTTGGTACAAAATGTGAGGAGATAACACCAGGAAAAATTAAAATTACAAACTTTAGGTCGCAAAATTTCAAGTCCTGAAGTGATTCATTTTACTCCACCGTTCAAGTTTGAACTTCTGCCAGTGTGAGAGTCACCGTGGTGGTGGTTAGGGGTGGGGGACAGCTGCAGACTGGCGGGGACCTCTCGGCATCACTTTCCTTGTGGTCGTGTTTATCTTTCTGTGGTTCTTGCCCTACAGGAAGTGGCTTGGTGGCAGACGAAGACCTTCCCACCTCCTCTCAGGCAGGTCCTGCCACCGACATCCTTGAGTAGTTGGGCCTTCTGATGCCAGCTGCCTGGGGGGCTTTGGCTCGCCTGTGGCCAGAAGGTCTTACCTCCAGCCCTCATTTCAATGGATGTGAGGTGACCAGCCCAAGCAGCAACTCAGCTTTGCCACATTCAAAGAGCACAGTGAGGCAGAATGCTGTTGGGATCTCCATTGGTAGGCCCCTCGCTGGCTCTTACAGTGGGTAAACTGCCCGGCTGTCCCACACCTGACTCTTTGAAGGGCCCTGTGGGCAGGAAAAATGAACATTCTAGATGTGGCTCCCCCACCAAGGATATGAGTTAAACTGCTAAGAAGTCTCTGTTTGTCTACAGAACATTCATCTGCTTAGGGAAACGTCACACCTGCATTGGCTGCGGGTGCACTGCTGGGCCTTGGTCCTTGTTGGTGTGGGGCTCCTGGTGCCGGACTAGCCTTCCTCATGTCCTCCAGCCACCTTGACTCTGGAAACCATTCAGAAATCAAAGCCAGCCCTGTCATCATTGCTGTGTAAGTTTATGGAGTATATAAAATATACTTGTTGACTGGTACATTTGTGCAAAGACATATATGACTTTAAAACAAGACATTGACATTCATTGTAGTTGGCTTCACAATAAGCTACTAAAAACAGTCTTCCGTAGTAAGATTGTATTAGCGCTCTCTACACATGCATTTACAAGGCAAAACACTTAATTTGGTCTGCAATACCCAATATTTTATATACAGCAGTCTTTTATAAATCACAAGTAGGCAGTTAGATGGGTCTGGTTTTGGAATATGTTATCATCTGTGTTGGATTTTTTCAAAGAAACTCATATTAACTCAACTCGTGTAAACCTGTGGAAAAATAGCTGAGTCTTCTTTTCCCATCTCCTCTGTTAATTTACCTTGAAATGTTCACAGCTTAGAAACTACAGCCAGCTGGGGTAGAGAGGGGAGTGGGCCTCTTGGGGAGTGTCCCAGCTCCCTTTCATAGCCTTTCCCCAGAGGGTATAACCTGTTCTGAGGAAACCAAGCCCAGGTCCCCGCTATAGCCCTGAGGGCATGCGTGGCAACAGACCCATGGTAGGTTTGTCTTTCAAACAAAGCCCCTCTGGACTGGGTGGGTTTTAAGTCTTGGGTTTTAAGACGGAGACATTAGAATCAAAGGGGAAAATAATGATGATTAAAAAGCCGTCCAGCAGGGAACACCACGAAGTGTGCTCATGCTCTCCACAGCACATGGGGCCCTGGGCATTCTCACAAAGCGTCC